AGCTGGGTGGGGAGGGCTGGTGGAGGCAGCAGGCCTTGGATTGGGTCCTCTAGGGGCAGCACTGGAACTGGTCAGGGGCTTCAGGAGTGCAGGGCTTTTGGAGGCAGGAGCATCTACCCTGTCGTTTTTGCCCTCAGCCTCCTCCTTGGGGGTTCAGAGGAAACTGTGTCAGCAGCTGCAGGCCCCCCCCTCAGGCTTGGCTGCTTCTGCTTCCTCCACCCCCAGGACTCCAGGAAAAGGTCTGTCTGGGGGTGGGGGACTGGGAAGAGGGGCGAGCTGAGCTCGTGCTAAAAACAATCCTGAGGCTCTTATGCAGTTTCACTCCTCAAAACACCCTAGCAAGGGAAATATAATTGCTATCATTTTCCATGAGGCAGTGGGTTCAGAGAGGTTAAGTGACTTATCCAAGGTCACACAGCCAGGAAATGTCACAGTTGGGGTTTGATCCTAGGTCTGTCCAACCTGAAATCCACGCTACCCCGACTCATCTCATTGTGGAGGGGGGCATGGGACATGGTGGGAAGAGTCCTGCTTACAAAACGGCTTGCTAGGTGGCTCTTTTCCAAAGCAGTCACATTCGTGTTCATAGAAATGTACACACATGTTCCCAGCTTGGCATATTCACAGTCTTAGAGAGGCCCACAGCCTCCCACCTCGTGGGCTTCCAGCCTTCAATCACTAGGAACAGTGGGGAGAGGGGTTCAACCTCAGGAGAGGGTGTCCCTTGGCTCCAGATGGTTGTCTAAAAGCTGGCAAGGTTGGCTCTACAATCACTCCAGACTCCCAGGCCCCACCCTTCCCTGGCATAATGTTGCCCTTGAATCCCAAGGTGCCTGTTCTCCTCCTCATGCCACAACCTTCCCTCTTCCTGTTCTCTGCCCCGTCCCACCCAGACCTCACCCACTTTCCAAACAGCCTTTGTCTCCACCCTCACCCTGGTTCCCACCCATCACAGCCAGGTGCCCCATGGCCTCTTTTCCCCTCACCTGAGCGGACGACAGCAATGCAGTGAGAGCATCAGACACCAGGTGGCAGCACAAGGCGGTGTCCTCACCTGGTGCTGCTGGTGCCCCTCCTGCAGTGGTAGCAAGCTGGGGAGAGGACACCCACACTGGTGTTTCTTCCAGGAACACACGCTCTCTCCGACTCTCTAAAGGAGGAAGCAGGCTTGAGGGGCCCAGAGAAGGACTTTGTGTGTGGAGAAGCCTAGACAAGGATCCTGGCATCTGAGTGTTGAGCCCACAGTGCTCTATGATCCCTGCTTAAAGCTGGAGGACTCAGGACTAATCCAGGACAGTGGTTGCCAGGAGGGGAATTAACTCTCAAAGCAAGTTTAGTTGCTCTGGGGCAGAGCAAGGCCAGTCAAGGATGCAGCTGCTCCAGAGAACCCCCAGGGGGGAATTCTGCTAAGAACTTTGACACTCTGCCTGTCTTAGCTCTGGTCCAGGTGTGGGAGCTGCTGACTGTGGCCTGCAGAGCTAATTAATTCTTCTTGCTTTGAAAACTCGAATGGGCACAGCCGCCAGAGCTTTCGCCTGCATGCCGAATCAGATCAGGCACAGGTTGGGAGCAGAGGGGCTCACCAGGCTGGGGGCTGGAGGAAGAACAGGGGACAAAGGGAAGCTGGGGTGTGGGAGCTGGAGTCTGGTTTGGGGGTGCTCCTGGCCTTCAGGGAGCTGCTAAAGAAATCAGATGGTGAGAGGGGAGGGAGGTTTTGCCATTCTACACCCTGCCCCTGTCTCCAACCACAGTGTTTCCTGAGCCTGGGTCTCCCTGTCCCCCCTTGCTCTGCTTTCTTCTCTCTGCTGTCACGCCGGCCCTAAGCTGTACCTTGCAATTATCTTATCTTTCCATCTCCTCTCCAGGAAATCCCTAATGCTGGGTTCCCCTGGGATGCTCTGCTGCGGGGGAGGCCGCACATGCTCCTTCCATCCTGCCTGGAGCTGCAGCCAGTTGGGGAGGGAGGATGGGGCTGGGGCCACTAAGGCTGGGGGAGTTTCAGTCCACCTCTCTGCTGCAGCCTAACACACAAGGCCTTTGTTTCTTCTCCCAGGAACCCTCCAGCAGAAACCATCTTGGATCTGAAAACTCAAAAGTGCAGTGGGCAGTGCCACTGCCACAGTAGCATAGATAAAATGCTATCACCTCTTCTTAGGAAATAGGGCTTTTGCTTGATCAGTCAACAAACACTTCCAGAGGGCCAGCTTTGCCAGGCATTGTCCTGAGTGCTGAGGACACAGTTATAAACAAGACTTAGTCCCTAACCTCAAGGTATGCACAGTCCTCTGGGGGAGGTAAGGAAAATATGAATACAGTAGGGGAAAGGGGATTATGCAAGGAAGAATCCCTAACCTGGGACTGGGAGGGCAGAGGCCCAAAACAGTCTTTGAGGAGGAGGAGTCAAGCAAAACCTTGAAGGGTAAATAGAGTTTTCCAGCTGCAGAAAGGGAGATGGGGTGTAGAAGGATAGTGTGTGGCTTTGAGTTGGCTGGGAGGTGTGTTCAGAAAACATGGGGCTTATCCTTCTGGGCCAGGATAAGCCCTAGGGCCCTGGGCAAGCTGTAGGCTGATGGCTCAGGACCTCAGACTTCTTCCTCTAGTGAGAACAACCAAAACAATAACATCCTGGAAATGCTGTGGTTATTATTCCAGAGCTGTGGGAAAGGAGTCATATTTCATGAGTGGCCAGGACGGGTGAAGGCGAGAGTCTCCAAAGGCCCCCACCATAATCTCAGAGTCTCCCACCCAGTGCTGTAGCCTTGGGAAGGTGATGGCAAGATGAAAAGCCTGGGGTCCAAAGGGATGGTCCCTCAGCCCCAATGCTGAAGCCACACTTAAGGGTCTTGGCTCCAAGCTAGAGATCTAACCAGTGGCTGCACGGCCAACCTGAGGCTGGAAGGTCCCACATCAAAGTCTGGGCTGGTTCTGGGCTCTCCATCTCAGGAAGAAGGTCTGATTCAGGAGCTCAATTCCTTAAGGGACCTAAAAGAAAACCCCCAAGTCTTCCCAATCTGAGAGCCAGCCTTCCTGGTTTATCTGGTGCGTAAGACCCCACAAGCCTTAGGGAAGGATTGGGAGAGGACGGAGAGTGAGGGGATGCTGGTGGGCAGACCAAGGGGCAGGGGGTGCTCAGGAAGTCATGACCAGTGTTGAGAGAAGGATGGAGGAAGATTCCCAGCTGCCCAGGCCATAGCAGCCTGCACCACCAGGGCTGGAAGAGAGCATAGATGATACCCTGTCCACGTTGCTCAAGAAACTAAGTACCAGAGACATCAAGAGCTTGCTGAGATCACACACAGTATATAAAAGGTACTAACTGAGGCACTGGGGGAGAGGATTGGAGGTGACTCAGTCAGTCCCTGCCCTTGGGGACTTCTCAGATTGGCTGGGAAGACAGAGTCTTCACAACTAAATATAACCCAAGGCACACTGTGACAAAGTGTGAAAGCTTTGTAAAGTCTTCTGACCAGAGAGTGGGTAAGAGGAACAGGAGAGGGTGGGCGTGAGTGGGCAAGTGCAGAGGAAGGGGGCAGATAAAGAGCCTAGGAGGACCGGCCCAATGGAGGAGGGGTTGAGGCCCCAGTTTAGCTGGGGGTTGGAGGAGCTTTATCCACCCCACTCCCACCCCCATCCCATGCCTGTCCAGATCTCAGCTCTGATAGTCTACAGTTGAAGGGATTTCCCTCTGGTGACTTTCTGCCTGCTTAGAGAGACAGGAGGTGGCTGACCACTTCTGTACTATTTTGCTGGCCCCTGCCCATGCCTGCCACTGAGAAGCCAAGGAAGGAAACACCTCCTCTTGAGAAACACGTGCCAGGAAAGGGATCACCAGGATGAAATTAGACCTTGCAGGCAAGGGTTGGGGAGAGATGGGCCAGGCAAAGATCTGCCTGGGAGAATTTGTTCTCAGTCCCAGGAAGGGAAGGGAAGTGGCTGTTAGGGAAGAAAGAGTGACTGGGGGAGTTAAGAGATAGAAAGATCCCAGAATGGCCAAGCAGGAGAAGGCCACTGACCCCAAACCCTTACAGATGGGGAATGTGGGCTCTCAGCCTTAGGAGGATGCTAATAGGAGTTCTTCCTGGGGCTTCACCTGCCCACCCCCACCCTGATCTGGCTGAAGTTGAGGAAATTAACGTATGCTGAGCGCCTACTAAGTGTGCTAGTCCATATGCTTTTCCTACTCTTTCCGTTCAGCCTCAGAGAACTCTCTGAGGAAGACTCTACTATGATTCTCCCTATTAGACAGAAGTGAAAGTGAAGGCCCAGGGAGGAGCTAAAATGCCACAAGGAGATCAGGGAGCCACAGAGCCTCGGAAGGTGGCAATTTTAGAATGCAGGAGGTCACCATCTGGGTGATGCTGTGACCTCCTTCCAGTCCCCACTCCACAGGGACACACACGCAGAGCACACACCTGCTCACAGTGTGT